AGATTGTAATCCTAAATATATATACTAGGAAGTAAGCTAATTCAGACATAAATGTGCTGACTCGTGAGTAAACCTGCACAGGTTTGTGCTACATAACTTCTTTGGACACCTTCAATTCCTATCATAACTGAAAACCATAAATGAGATGTTAGTGGAAATGACAGTCTTTTTAGGCAGAATGAAGAAACTTAAAATGCAGATTTGAAAAATAACTTAGTACTTGCATTCTTCCAGATGCAGTCATACTTTGGCAAAGTTAATACAAGTTTTTAAAGGTATTTCATTTCAAATTGACAGTAAGACCAAATTTTCCATTCTTAACACTTATTCCAGGATGCTTTAACCAAAGCCAACAGACTTTCTGGCATGTTTTCGTATGCCCCTCTCCCAGCATTTCCCTCTTAAGCATTTAGCATCTAGCAAAAGCAGAAGCTAACAACTTGAAAGAAAAGGCCCAATACTGTCCAAGGACAGGCAATGGGCCTCCCTCCACAGAACAAATAATAGAAAAATGTATTTCAGTAGCCTGCAATTTGACACGTGCAAGTAATTATTCTACTGATCTTTGTACATGTGGACTGCACGCATACAAAGCATTTATTCCCTTGATATCAGGAACAGAGAAAAGGAACCAAAGGGAAACATGCCACTGATGCAGAAACCTTCTGGAAATAATACATAATACAAATGTTATTAGCTAGTATACTGCAGCACATGGGTCATAGCTGGGCACTGATTTCCCAGAAATTCACGGTGGGAACTGCACATATGGTTGGATGCATGGAATTTTTAATCATGTTTGCCCCTGATGGTCCAAGCAACAACAGCTAATTCCCCTGTCCCCCAGAAATACTTTCTCTTAGGATCCTTCCACACAGCCATATAGCCCAGAATATCAAGGTAGATAATCCACAATATCTGCTTTGAACTGGATTATTTGAGTCCACTCGCCTATATAATCCGATTCAATGTTGATTTTATACAGCTGTGTGGAAGAGGCCCCAGTTGCCTGAAAAGTATGCTCAGGATGCATCTATACTGTTCAATTACTGCAGTTTGACACCACTTTAACTACCATGGCTCAATGCTATGGAAACATGGGGATTGTAGCTTCTCAAGGTCTTTATCCTTCTCTGATGGTGCTTCACCAAAGTGCCACTCCAATGACTCCACAGCATCAAGTTGTGAAAATTAAAGAGATGTCAAACTGCATTAATTCTATGGTGTAGATGCAGTTTCCCCAGCAAAAGGGAAACCAGCTGGCAGAGAGAGAATGAATTAATTGAGATCCATAGGTAGGTAAAGGAAAAGATTTCCCCTCAACATTAAGTCTAGTCGTGTCTGACTCTGGGGAGTGGTGCTCATCTCCATTTCTAAGCCGAAGAACCGGCGTTGTCTGTAAACACCTCCAAGGCCATGTACTGCATGACTGCACCTCCAGCATGACTGCATGGAGTGCTGTTATCTTTCCACAGAAGCAGTACCTATTGATCTACTCATATTTACATGTTTTCGAACTGCTAGGATGGCAAAAGCTGGGACTAAGCAGGAACTCACCCTACTCCCCGGATTTGAAACGTCAACCTTTTGGTCAGCAAATTGAGCAGCTCAGCGGTGTAACCTCCTGGACCACTTTTTATTTTATTTATTTATTTATTTATTTATTGCGCTTGTAGACCGCCGTTCTCAGCCCTAGGGCGACTCACGGCGGTGTACAACATATAAAAACAATTTACAATAAAGGCAATATCACAAACAACAATAACAACATCACTATCAATAATACAATTACACTAAATCATTCGCGACGTCTCATCATAGAATCACAATCCAATCTCGTTATCCATATTCTGTTCCACTCATCATTGCCAATTGTTGTAGCACTTAGTCAAACGCCTTCTCAAACAACCACGTCTTTAGGCTCTTGCGGAATGTCATAAGGGAGGGCGCCTGTCTGATGTCTACAGGGAGGGTGTTCCACAGCCGGGGGGCCACCACCGAGAAGGCCCTATCCCTCGTCCCCGCCAGGCGTGCCTGTGAGGCAGGCGGGATCGAGAGAAGGGCCTCCCCAGACGATCTCAAAGTCCTCGTGGGCTCATAGGCCGAGATGCGGTCAGACAGGTATTTTGGGCCGGAACCGTTTAGGGCTTTGTAGGCCAACACCAGCACCTTGAATTGGGCCCGGTAGCAGATCGGCAGCCAGTGGAGCTGGAACAACAAGGGCGTTGTGTGCTCCCTGCGTCCCGCTCCTGTTAGTAACATGGCTGCCGCGCGCTGGACTAGCTGAAGCTTCCGGGCCGTCTTCAAGGGCAGCCCCACGTAGAGAGCGTTGCAGTAGTCAAGGCGGGATGTGACCAGAGCGTGTACTACCGTGGCCAAGTCAGACAAGTCAGAAAGTTTTCTTTGCGGCTTTTATTGCCGCGGCATATGCCCTTAGAAAGGACACAAACCGTGTTCGATTTGACTCGCTCGGATCCGAACGCCACACGCTCTCTAGTTCCCTCTTCCTTCGCTTCATCACTGCCAGCTCCTCAGTAAACCAAGGAGCTGGTTTAGCTCGGCTACTTGAGAGGGGACGTTCCGGAGCGATCGTGTCAATTGCCCTGGCCATCTCTCCATTCCAGAGAGCGACCAAGGCCTCGACAGGGTCACCTACCGAGGTGGCGGGAAAATCCCCAAGAGCCGTCAGGAATCCATTCGGATCCATAAGCCTCCTGGGGCGGACCAACTTAATGGGTCCTCCACCTTTGCAGAGGTTGGGGGGCGCAGTGAGCCTAAATCTGACCAGGAAATGGTCGGTCCATGGCAACGGAGAGATGGTCAACTCCTCAATACCGCCACCTTGCTCCCATCCCTGGCAGAAAACTAGGTCCAATGTATGTCCAGCACAGTGGGTGGGGCCAGATATTTGTTGGGACAGCCCCATGGTTGCCATGGCAGACATGAAGTCCTGAGCTGCTCCTGTGAGGGTCGCCTCGGCATGGATATTGAAGTCTCCCAGCAAGAAGCCGTTGAGACTCCAACGCCAGGCTCGAGACTACCCCCGCTAGCTCAGGTAGGGAGACTGTAGTGCAGCGAGGTGGACGGTACACTAACAGAATCCCTATTCTGTCCCGGTCACCCACCCTCAGGTGGACGCATTCAAAATTTGTTGACTGCGGGATGGGACTCCTGGTCAGATGGATGGAATCTCTATAGACCACTGCGACCCCGCCTCCCCGCCCTCCGGATCTTGGTTGGTGCTGCACGGAGAAGCCTGGAGGACAAAGCTGAGTCAAATTCACGCCTCCAGCTTCATCCAACCAGGTCTCCGTGATGCACGCCAGATCTGCCCGGTCATCCAGGATTAAGTCCTGGATAAAGGTCGTTTTTCCGTTGACAGATCTGGCGTTCAACAGCACCACCTTCAATCCGGAGGGACCGCCAACCTGGTTACACCAATTTACCATAGGAGACCGGTTTGGAATTATTAATGTAGATAAGCGATCCGAATTAGGCCGAATTTGTGGTCTCCTTTTCCCGCATCTCCCCCTCCCCACCACGACTTCTATGGGGGCCCCTCGGCTAGTGGAACACCTCCCCTCCTCCATGCCGCAGTCCAAATCCATGATCTCAATTTCTGTTCCATTAATGGTTATTTGGTTTGTTAGAGTTTTTTCTTGGCAACACTCCTATCCCAGGAGTGCATGCACCAACACACATGCAGTGCTACTTTCCATTTCAACATCAACCACAGGTTCGGAACATGCCATCATGTTTGGAAGAAAATTCATTTTTTACAGTTTCAAAGAACATTACAACAATGTTTGCCTGAGTTCATTGAGAGGCTTTAACAGTACTCCTAGTTCTGGGTTGGTGGGTAAGAACACTTCACTTACATTCTCAGATGACAAAGAATATTATATTTATCCAGATCTTCAAATGCTTCCCATTTTGAATAGGAAGTGACAAGGTCCTTTGGACTAGCAACACTCTCAAAGGAACCTGCATAGCCAGGGTGCTTTATTTGAACAACTACTTCATTGGCTCTATATCCTGCTCAATAAAAATCATAGGCTTTGTATTGTCAAAGACTTTCATGGCCAGAATCACTGGGTTGTTGTAGGTTTTTTGGGCTGTATGGCCATGTTCTAGAAGCATTCTCTCCTGACGTTTCGCCTGCAGCTGTGGCAGGCATTCTCAGAGGCTGTGAGACCTCTCAACCTCTGAGGCTGCCTGCCACAGATGAAGGCGAAATGCCAGGAGAGAATGCTTCTAGAATATGGTCATACAGCCCGAAAAACCTACAACAACCCAGTCATAGACTCTTTTTTTTGTTGTTGCTCCAAACCTTTTCTTTATTGGGATTATGGAGCAAGACACATTGTGAGCATATTGCCTCAGAACTACGCATCTATTTTGGCTTCTCCCAGTCATTTCAAAGAGGAGGACCTGCACTGATTTATAGCAAAGTTTATAGCTGCTTGCATGATTGGAGCCTGAAGGTGAATATAAGCCAAGGAATGTAATTGCACTCAACAGCAGGTGCTCACAAAGCTTGCACAAAAATCCAGGTGCTAATTACTCTAACCCTGATTGAAGTTTTATAAAAGATATTTAACTGATGCCAGCCTCAAATTAGTCATACATGGATACAGTTTTGGCAATTTCCTTCTTTTGTCTGAATATTGTATAGCAACTTGTTGCAGGATCTGTTGACACAAAACTCAACATGGCTCTAATTAGTTACAGCTGGTTTGTGTTCACAATTTTAAAAAGAGCAAGCTTTGTTGGACTTATGTTGTGGCTTACAAATCAGATGTCAGAAAATAGTGCACATCCTAATGAAGTACCCACACGATGAAGGTTTCAAGCATGAATAATCCCACAGTCTGACTAAACTGTGTGACAAAGCATAGGGTTTTTCTGTCTACTTATGGGAATACCTCAGTGCTGGAAAGATGAACACATTCCTCTCCACCCACTCACCCACTCCATTCTTCTCTTCCAGTGCTACTTACATTGGGGTATGTGGGCAGGGTATCTGATTCCAGGCACATCTGTACTGAACTTGAACGTAACTCTCGGTGCCATCCATCACAGAGCAGGTCACATTCTTGTTCACAATGTAGGCACACCAGTTTCTGAAGGGGAGAAAGAGACAACAGCAAGACACAGTTGAGCAAGCAGACAATACATATTGAACCATTTGTCTGGGTCAAATGTGGAAAAAAAACACCAAGTGCTTCATTCAGGAAAGTGTCAAGGCAGACACACAACAATCTGGTTCCCACCTTCACGAGCACAACATCTGAAAGGAATAGGAGGTCAAATTTCAAAACTTCACCAACTAGGAGAAACAGGCGATCTACCCTCTTAAATTCTACTATGGAAACTCAAGTATTAATACTTGCTTGCTTGGTAACAATACAATGCATACAGTTATCTGTGCTTGGTTTTAATGTCTGCTCAAAAGTTTAATAGCTACTGCATTGCATGTCCTCATCCGATACAACTGGTAGCTATAGAACAGTGGTTCCCAACCTGTGGTCCGTAGTGGACCACCAGTGGTCCGCAAGTACGAAAATATGGTTCCAACCTCACCATTACTACACTGTTGCCTCAAAACCAGGTGGAAACGAGAGCAACTGGTCTCGCAAAACCTTCTTTTAGTGCCGAGGCAACATGAGTGTTGGGAGGGCAGAGGCTGTCTACCCTTGAAAAATTACTACTACCACATCAGCTCTAGATTAATAAATATAGTTTTCTGTGGGTGAACAGATGGAGACTACTGGATAGCATATGTTCTGTAGCAGAAACTAAAGTTGATGTGGTCTATCCAATGAAATTTTCTAAATCAGCACCCCAAATAACCAAACCAAATCTAAAGTTGACCAAAAACTGATTTGTAACCCTTTTAGTACTAATGTTGGAGAGTGTCCCCTGGTCAAAGTGGTTTTCTGGTTGGGAAGCACCGCTATAGAAGAAAGCTTGAAATAAAGAGGAAAGACCTTTCAAAAGAGGTTGCTTTATCCAGGATCACAACTCTTTTAGTTCTTTGTAAAATACGAAATAGAAAAGAATTAACAATTTAATTAATTGTTAAAGAGTCCATTACCTAACCTACAACAATTCAAAGTTAACACTTTTCTATTAAGTTATTCACCTCTGCGTTTCCTAGTATAAGCAAATACCAACTCCGTTTTTTAATTTTAAAAAAGATACATCCTGTGTACTGTGCTTTATTCAGCATATCCTGCCCCTAGTTCTGGTTTGAATGGGAACAAAGTCATTTCAAGGAGGAATGACTTCCTGTGTACACAGATATTGAAGCTTTGGAATGGAGAAAGAAGTGTCTTTCCTCAGCCTGATCTAGCGTTCATGGAAGGAATAACAATTACAGCATAACTATTTCTATACAACAGATACAAAACTGAAACGAACATATTTTTGCTGCTTCTAAAAGAAGGAAGGAGGGGGGATCATAAGGTAGCAAAGGCATAAATTACATGGCAAAAGCAAACTGGATCAACAAACCCAGAGAATTTCCAAAGGAGTTGTACACCAATATCTATTCATGTATTCAGGAGATGTTGCCCTAAATTCTGTAGGGTAGTCCTAATTAGCACAGAACTATTGAATTGGTTGCTGAATGATGAATCACTATAAAGGTAAATCACACTGATTCAACATAATAATACTGATTAGCATTAACAATATGATCTATGATGTGTTTTTTACAGATTACTTCACCAGACCACCAAATAAATCACAAGCAGGCACAGTCTTTGCGATCTGCCTTGTCTGCACACTTTGTCAAAAGACTTGCTAATTTTGTCAGGCCTGTGAACTAAATTAATGGGCATCCTTTATATAATATGGAGCTGTCAAAATCTAAAATAACTTTAAGTGGTACATTCACATAGTGGGAATTGAAGGTGTGGCACACTGTCAGGGGAAAGGGTAATAATCAGCAATTTGAATATAAATAGCTTCTATAAAAATCAAGTTTAACCAATGCATTTAAGAGCAGGTGGAATGCAGTGGGGTCTGCTATGTTGTGTCTGGCAAGTGACAGAAACGATGCAAACCCTGACCTTTGCCTTCAGCCAGAGGGCTAAGAAACAATGGGAGTTGCCCCTTCTGCATGCCAATAAGAACATCATGCCAAGGGGATGACCGTCCTGGCCCCATCAGGAACAGAGGGAGCAACTATAAGGAATTTGTTTCCATTTCCCCTGCCAGGAGGAACAATCCAGCTACAAGTGGCTCCATAATTTTAGATCTAATGAGAAGCACATTTTTTGCCTAACCATTTTTGTATGTGTTGGGTAGAGGAGGGGGGAAGGTGCTAGCCTGTTGTAAACACTTGAAAGGTCATTCATTCAGCCAAAGACAGGAAATAAATTTTCAAAATAATTAGTATTCTACAGACTGAGCATTACAAAAAGAACTTTCCTACCATCACAGGTCAGATAAGCAGACATCTATAGCGTGCAATTCACACCACAAGAACGGGTGAGCCCCAATCTCAAATCTGTTTCCCAGGACCCTGGATAACATCCAGGCATCTGAGTGAGTGCCAATATTGGTGCCAAATCTCCCCTCCTCGAGTTTAATTGCTATGTAGGTGGTGGTTTTCAAGGGGATCTGCAGCTGGGGAACAGAAAGGTTAACCTCTCCTTCCCCAGATGCTGTAATTTTTCCCATTTCCTTTGCATAGAAGTTACCTTAAGAGAGGAAAATCCCTTCCACTGCTGCTCACAGAAGTGGGATTTCCCCGGCTATATGAAGTGGAGGCAATTTCCTTGCACAGTGGAAAGAGAAATGAGAGGGTAGGGAAAAGAGGACAGATGGTGGGGAAGACAGGAAAAGTATGTCTATGATCTCCTAGAATATTAAACAATTGGAGAAGGATGCCCTTCTCCAGGTATTCCCAGTAGTTATTAGATCTTTTCACTGGTGTGTGTCGCATGGCTCTTTCTAATCTTTCTGTATCTTCTTGATTTACATTATGGTGCATGGAGGGAGTTCTTAATATGATGCTTCTTCACTTTCTCTCATATGTACATGTTGAAGTAGGGGGAAATGATATAAATCCTCATAATTTCAGAATAGCAAAACAGGGAGGCCACCAGCACCCTGCTTCTTCTTTCTCCTTGCAAATTCCCTCTATTTATTCCATCCTACGTAATCTTAAGGAGCCCCCAGTGGTGCAGTGGGTTAAACAGCTGAGCTGTTAAACTTGCTGACCGAAGGGTTGCAGGTTCGAATCTGGGGAGCAGCATGAACTTCCGCTGTCAGCCCCACCTTCTGCCTACCTAGCAATTCGAAAACATGCAAAAGTGAGTAGATCAATAGGTACCACTTTGGCGGGAAGGTAACAGTGCTCCATGTAGTCATGCTGGCCACATTACCTTGGAGGTGTCTACGGACAACAATGGCTCTTCAGCTTAGAAATGGAGATGAGCACCAACCCCCAGAGTTGGACACGACTGGACTTAATGTCAGGGGAAAACCTTTTTCTTTACTACCTAATCCTTGTTCCTTCGTTTCCTCCTTTCTGATCCAAACTCCCAAACATTTGTTCCTTCGTTGTGTGAGTTTTCCAGGTTGTATGGCCATGTTCCAGAAGCATTCTCTCCTGACGTTTGTTTCTTCCTTCCAGTCTCTGCTTCCTTCCTGATCTTCCTTTGTATGGTTTGCTGCTACTTTGATCCTTGCCTTTCTTCCATCACTCATTCATCATCTTGATTCCCACCACAAGAACTGTGCAATTTATTTTATTTAACTGATTACATTTTGGAGCATAACCTCAAAGGAAATTGAGAAATTACTTGGAGGTGATTCCCTGAATCAGCCTTTGTTTGATTTTGCACCAGGGTTCTGTCAAATATTTGAAACTCCCTTTTGCTCCAAAAATTGGAAATTTTAGTGAAGCATAACAGGTCTCATGAAATAAAAACCCTACCAGCCACTATTTCTTAATAGTTCTTGCACATTTGTGTATAGCTATTGCTGACTATTATTAACTGAAGAGAAACAATATATTTAGCTTCCATGCTAATTTAGGATGATCAATGGCTGAGATAAGAGTCAACGTGAGACTAAGGGCCCTTCCACACAGATATATAACCCAGAATATCAAGGTAGAAACCCCCGCAATATCTGCTTTGAACTGGGTTATCTGAGTCCACACTGCCATATATTCCAGTTCAAAGCAGATAATGTGAGATTTTATTCAGCTGTGCAAAAGGGGCTCAAGATACAAATCCCTGCTTGATCAGGAACCTTTAAGATATTACTCTTTCGCCTTCAAACAAAGGTAAAGGCAAAAACACTTTTGAATAAACATTGTCAAGAAAATGTCATGATAGGATTGTCATAAAGGACTTGAAGGTATGAAAGAACAAAACTGAGGTGCAAACCGAGGAGACCAAGATACAAATTCCTGCTTGATTGTAGATTTTGAGCACATAATGCTTTCCACCTCAGAGCAAGTCCCCTCTGAATTAACTTTGTCAAGAAAATGTCATGACGGAATCCTCACAAAGGACTTCAGAGAACAAAAGAACAGGGCTGAGAGGTATACTGAGGAAGTCATTATTTTTAGGAAGTTGGTATTAACGAGCTTTACCTTTTTATTGTCGAAGGCTTTCATGGGTGGAGTCACTGGGTTGTTGTAAGTTTTTCGGGCTGTATGGCCATGTTCTAGAAGCATACTCTCCTGACATTTCGCCTACATCTATGGCAGGCATCCTCGGAAGTTGTGAGACCTCACAACCTCTGAGGATGCCTGCCATAGATGCAGGCGAAACGTCAGGAGAGAATGCTTCTAGAACATGGCCATACAGCCCAAAAAACCTACAACAACCCAGAGCTTTACCTTCATTTCAATGTGCATGGCTCTTATAAATATGCATATACGAAATAGCCTCTATTCATTGTATGTATCATTAAACAATGGCATGTGGCTGTTGCAGGGTGCCTTTTGAGTTGATTCCATGAGATGAAACACTATCATGGGGTTTTCTTGGCAACATTTGATTGGAGAGGATTTGCCCTTGCTTTCCTCTGAGGCGGAGAGAATGACCTGCCCAAGATTGAACCCTATTCTCTAGAGAGGGATACTCATACACCAAAACCAACACACTAGCATAGTACTACAAGGAATTAACGGAGGCTTGCTCTTTTGACATCTTCCCAAATACTTCCCCCCTGACTGCTCCAGTGGCCCATCCTCCCAGTCTAGAAAGCGCAGTTGTGGGCCCTCAGGCTAAGGATGCGGCTTCCTGAAATGAGGGATTTCCTCTCTTCCCCACAACCATTCTCCACTTGCTCTGACTTGCTCCTCTCATCCGGGTCGCTCAGCCCTAGAGCGCTGCTTTCCTTCTCTTCCAGAGCTGACAAGGGAAGAACATCTACACTGTGGAATGACACCACTTTGCTCAGTGCCACAGAACCCTGGGAAGCGCAGTTTGGAGAGACACCAGCACTTTTGAGCACAGAAGGTGAAAAAGGCCTCACAAAACTGCAACTTCATAGGATTCCATAACATTAAGCCAGGGCAGGAAAAGTGGTGCCAAGACTGCATTCATTCTGCAGCGTAGCTTTATTTATTTGTTTATTTAGGAAATGTACATCCCGCCTTTCCCTACTCAAGGGCCAAAGGCGGCTTACAGCCAATAAAACATACAATATAAAAGTTAAAACTAAATGTTAGACATGTTGTAAACTCTAATTAAAATTCAACAAAATAAGTTATACTAAGCCAATCATATAAAACAAACCCACAGGCCTTCTTAGCCATTTAGGTAAAGGTAAATGTTTCTCCTGACATTAAGTCTAGTCGTGTCCAACTCTGGGGTGTGGTGTTCATCTCCATTTCTAAGCCAAAGAGCTGGCATTGTTTGTAGACACCTCCAAGGTCATGTGGCCAGCATGACTGCATGGAGCACTGTTACCTTCCCACCAGAACAGTACCTATTGATCTACTCACATTTGCATGTTTTTGAACTGCTAGGTTGGCAGAAGATGGGACTAATAGCAGGAGATCACCCTGCTCCCTGTCTTTGAACCGCCGACCTTTCGGTCAGGAAGTTCAGCAGCTCAGCGGTTTAACCCACTGTGTCACCAGGGGACCTAGACATTTAGTATCCTGAATTATGATCCCTCCAAAGGCTTCCATGAACAAGAAGGTTCTCTGAGGATGCCTACCATAGATGTGGGTGAAACATCAGGAGAGAATGCTTCTGGAACGTGGTCATACAGCCTGGAAAATCACAGCAACCCACTTTCTAAATGTTAGTAGACACGGTACAAATCTTAATATCATTAGGCAGGGTATTCCAGAGGGAGGAAGCCACTCCTGAAAAGGACCTCTCTCAAGCCCAGTGGTTCTCAACCTGTGAGTCCTCAGAGGTTGTGGCCTTCAACTCCCAGAAATCCTAACAGCTGGTAAACTGACTGGGATTTCTAGGAGTTGTAGGGCAAAGCACCTGGAGACCCACAGGCTGAGAACCACTGCCTAACACTCTTCAGATGTCGAGTGTCTGGGATGTTAGGCAGGCATGGGCAAACTTTGGCACTCCAAGTGTTTTGGATTTCCACTCCCACAATTAGGGAGTTGAAGTCCAAATCATCTGGAAGGCCAAAGTTTGCCCAACGCTGTTCTAGAAGATACTAAGAATTCCCCAACTGGACCTAAAAGATCTCTCTGGAGTATATCGAGGAACCTGAACCAATTCATCCAAGTAATCTGGACCAATTCACCCAAGGAGACCCAGGGCCCTTCCACACAGCCCTATATTCCAGAATATCAAAGCAAAAAATCCCACATTATCTTAGTGTGGACTCGGATAATCCAGTTCAAAGCGGATATTGTGGGATTTTCTGCCTTGATATTCTGGGATATAGGGCTGTGTGGAAGGGCCCCCAGGCCCCAATGATTGTTTTTGATCACGGATTTTCTCCTCTACCCCCCAATCATCCTCCATTTGCTCCGACTTGCTCCTTTCTGCTTCTCCCATGGCTGTCAAGGGGTGCACCTTTACTGTAGAACAGTGGTTCTCAATCTTCCTAATGCTGTGACCCCTTAATATCGTTCCTCATGTTGTTGTGACCCCCAATCATAAAATTTTCATTGCTACTTCATAACTGTAATTTTGCTACTGTTAATCATAATGTGAATATCTGATATGCAGGATGCATTTTCATTCGCTGAACCAAATTTGGCACAAATATCTGATACGCCCAAATTTGAATACTGGTAGAGTTGGAGGGGATTTATTTTGTCATTTGGGAGTTGTAGTTGCTGGGATTTATAGTTCACCTACAATCAAAGAGCATTTTGAACTCCACCAATGATGGAACTGAACCAAACTTGGTGCATAGAACTCCCATGACCAATAGAAATTACTGGAAGGGTTCGGTAAGCTTTGACCTTGAGTTTGGGAGTTGTAGTTCACCTACATCCTGAGAGTACTGTGGATTCAGACAATGATGGATCTGGACCAAACTTGGCACGAATGCTCAATATGCCCAATTATGAACACTGGTGGAGTTTGGATAAAATAGACCTTGACATTTGGGAATTGTCCTTGCTGGGATTTATAGTTAACCTACAAAGCGCATTCTGAACCCCACCAACGATAGAATTGGGCCAAACTTGACACACAAGACCCCCATGACCAACATAAAACACTGTGTTTCCTAATGGTCTTTGGTGACCCCTCTGGCACCCCCTTGCGACTCCCAGGTTGAGAAACACTGCTGCAGAATGACTGTAGTTCGACACCACTGGAACTCCCATGGCTCAATGCTGTGGGGTGGCAAAACATCAAAACATCCGGGCGTTTCCTGGGTAACGTCCTTGCAGACGGCCAATTCTCTCACACCAGATGCGACTTGCAGTTTCTCAAGTCGCTCCTGACTCGGACAAAAAAAAAGATGGTGCGAATTTTATGAGGTCTTCAGCCTTCAACTCCTAGCACTGAGCCAGGGCGGTTCAAAGTGGCGTCAAACTCGGTCTAGAGGGAAGAATATGACCCCAAGGATGGGCGACCCGGTCCCGAGAGGTCTAGAGTGGATACAGGCGTCCTCTTTGGGTTGCCTGTCTCCTCAGAAGAGTCCTGCAAAGGAATTGGGGAGGGTCAAATGCCCCTTCCCTTGCCTGCCCGCCTCGCTGGGCCACTAACTGGAAGGGCACTTACTTGTTCCTGGCTCCGGGGCGCAAGTGGGGTCCGCCTTGTCCGAGGCAGGCACTGAGGGAGGCCAGGAGCGCCAAAGCCCAGCCCAGGGGCGCCATGCCCATCCCTCGCCTCTTGGTTGATGCCCTTCTGCGCGCCCTTCTTCCCCTCCTGGACGGCTTCGGCTTCCTCTCCTGCGCCCCTCTGCGAGACTGCGCGGTGCCCCCTTCCACGCCAACTCTTCCCTCCCAAAGTTTCTCCTTCTTCCAAAGTGTCCGCCCTCTTCTTCACACGCCCCCCCCCCCACCTCTCCCCGTTGCCTGCCTCCCTCCTCCTCCTCCTCCTCCACTTCTTCGTTGGCGAAACAACACAACTCCCCTCCCTTTCGGTGAGGGGAAGGGGTCCCAATGACGCCGCTCGAACGTGCCTTCAGAGCCCGGTTAGGCTCTTCAGTCTCCACTTGGCGACTTCAAAGCATTCCATGCAATGAGTTGCTGTGAGTTTTCCGGGCTGTACGGCCATGTTCCAGAAGCATTCTCTCCTGACGTTTCGCCCACATCTATGGCAGGCATCCTCAGAGGTTGTGAGGTCTGTTGGAAACTAGGAAAAGGGAGTTTATATAGCTATGAAATGTCCAGGGTGGGAGAAAGAACTCTTGTCTGTTGGAGGCAAGTATGAATGTTGCAGTTGGCCACCTTGATTTGCATTAATGGCCCAGCAGGTTCAAGGTCTGGTGAGATCATCCGGAGTTTTGGAGTTCAGTGCCATTTGTACGCAAATGATGCCCAACTATACTACTCCTTTTCCAGACTATACTCAGAGTTTACCCAAATTACCCTAGGTAATTTTCAATGGTAAGCAAACAGTATCCCCCACCCCCCAAATCACTGATATATATTTTCTGTTCTGTGTGCCATATTTGGTTCAATTCCATCATTGGTGGAGTTCAGAATGCTCTTTGATTGTAGGTGAACTATATATCCCACTAACTACAACTCGCATATGTCAAGGTCTATTTCCCCCCAAGATTGCCTCAAGAGCACCCCTGGGCAAAATCAACTATACTGCAAATGCTTACTTTGCATAATGGGTTGAGCTGCCCCGGACTATACTATCAATTTTTTTCCAAACTATACTTCCAAACTATACTACCAAATTCCAAGGAAGTTTCCCAGATTTGAACTAGTGTCTGGCAGCTGTGGTGGACTGGATAGGGACTAACAGGTTGAAACTTAATCCAGACAAGATAGAGGTGCTTGAGGTCACACAGGTCCGTAGCTTGGGGGTCCTCCTGGATTCAACGTCTCCTGGATTCAATCCAGGTGTCAACAGTGGCCAGGAGGGCCTTTGCACAGCTAAAACTTGTGTGCCACCTGCAACCATACCTCGTGAAGTCTGACTTGGCCAGGGTGGTCCATGCCTTGGTTACATTCAGATTGGATTACTGCAGTGCGCTCTATGTGGGGCTGCCCTTGAAAGAGAATCATAGAATCATAGAATCAAAGAGTTGGAAGAGACCTCATGGGCCATCCAGTCCAACCCCTGCCAAGAAGCAGGAATATTGCATTCAAATCACCCCTGACAGATGGCCATCCAGCCTCTGTTTAAAAGCCTCCAAAGAAGGAGCCTCCACAACACTCCGTGGCAGAGACTTCTGCTGAACAGCTCTCACAGTCAGGAAGTTCTTCCTCATGTTCAGATGGAATCTCCTTTCTTGTAGTTTGAAGCCATTGTTCCTCGTCCCTAGTCTCCAGGGAAGCAGAAAACAAGCTTGCTCCCTCCTCCCTGTGGCTTCCTCTCACATATTTATACATGGCTATCATATCTCCCTCTCAGCCTTCTCTTCTTCAGGCTAAACATGCCCAGCTCCTTAAGCCGCTCCTCATAGGGCTTGTTCTCCAGACCCTTGATCATTTTAGTCGCCCTCCTCTGGACACATTCCAGCTTGTCAATATCTCTCTTGAATTGTGGTGCCCAGAATTGGACACAATATTCCAGATGTGGTCTAACCAAAGCAGAATAGAGGGGTAGCATTACTTCCTTAGATCTAGACACTATGCTCCTATTGATGGTTGAGAGGTCTGTTGGAAACTAAGTAAGTAAGGCTTATATATCTGTGGAAGGTCCAGGGTGGGAGAAAGAACTCTTGTCTGTTGGAGGCAAGTGTGACTGTTTCAATTGGCCACCTTGATTAGCAGTGGATGTCCAGGTTGGTTCATCAGGTGCTCTGCTATGAACCACCTAAACTGGGCTCTATAGGCCAATGGATACTCCACCACAGACATCAAAAGAGCTGCAAGACCAAGAATAAGCCACGAGAGTGAAGACAAAGATCCATCCAGAGGAAAAGTGTTCTTGCCATATATCAAGGGAACCACTGACTACATAGGGAAGTTTTTGTTGTCATGTCAGGAGTGACTTGAGAAACTGCAAGTCGCTTCTGGTGTGACAGAATTGGCCGTCTGCAAAGATGATGCCCAGGGGATGCCAGGATGTTTTTGATGCTTTGCCATCCTTGTGGGAGGCTTCTCTCATGTCCCCACATGGGGAACCGGAGCTGACAGAGGGAGCTCATATGCGCTCTCCCCGGATTCAAACCTGCGACCTGTCGGTCTTCAGCACTACTGGCACAAGGGTTTAACCCACTGCGCCACCGGTGGCTCCCAGTGCTGATTAAGCTGATGAAGAAGCTGATAGGGAAGCTGATGAAGAAAGACAACTTACAATCTACAGACCCACTAAGAAAATCCAACAAATGCTACGTTCAGCTGTTAAGAATGATAGGAGTTGAACTCCAAAAAACCAGGGGGGCCCAAGTTTGCCCATGCCTGCTTTAAATTGTGAAGGGTTTCCAGGTTTCTGCAATGCTAAGAATTTGGAGAAGTCAAACCAAGAAAGCATTGGGGGCCCCCAAAATACGTTTTCCCTTATGTCCCCAAATCTCTAGTGTCACAGTGATGTCAAACTTCAAAGGAGCATTTAGAAATGCAGTTGAGACATCCAGAGGAGGGGGAAAAAGACAGGCAAAAGTGACCCAGGAGAATATGAAGGCAGTACATGGAAGAGTTCACGGTGTGAAGGGTTTCCAGGATCTTTTTCTCTCTGCGATGTGAGGAATGTGGAGGCATATGCATGCATATTGTTCTTATTGAGAACCAGTGCCCTCCTTTTGTGTCTCCCTCCCACCATGTTTCACTCAATAACAACCAGTAGCTACTACTTATATGTAAAGCTACACGTATCATTTTTGGACACACCAGGGTGAAATCTTACCAATATTCATCCCATTCCCCCTCCCTTTCTTTCTATTTCTTTCTATCCAACTGAGAACTGGATGAGTCTTCCTCCTCGTTTTTTCCAAGAACACTCTTACGCAAGAGCAGCAAGCACATCCAAAACCAGAGTTTAATAAATGAGGTCTGCATTATTTCATTTAGTCAGGCCTCATGAAGAGAACGGGAAACGTGTGATGATTCTAAGCCACAACAGAACCCACTTTATCACAACATCCTCACCCTGATGGCAGGAAAACTTTACCTCCCATTAGAACAGTGATTTCCAAACTCTGACCCTCCAGATGTTTTGAACTTCAGTTCACAGGATCTCTGACCATTGACCAAAGTGGCAGAGGTTAATGAGAGTTTAAGTTCAAAAATCTGGAGGACTAGAGTTTAGGAATCACTGGGACTTTTGATGTAGAAGGTTACTATGTAGTTAAGTAATTTGTTTATGTGTATTGGAGGTACGAGGGTTGAATTAAAAGTAATGCCTCCACCTTCGTAACTCCTCAACAGATGGCAGTACTGGTATGTGGCAGGTACTGGCTTGTTCAGTACACGCTTCTCTACAGTTCCATTTTGTTGAAAAGCCTTAGCATTGAATGGTTGTGTTGTTAAAGTGCGAAGTATAGAACCCTGCGCAGACGGTCGGTCAGTGTGACTTAAGCAATGTGCAGTAATTTAATTTTTGATAGCAGAAGGCGTTACCCCAAAGGAGATTAATCAAAGAATGCAAGCTGTTATGCTGATTGTGTTGATGTGAGTACTGTGTGTCATTGGCCAAGTAAGTCTAAAGATGTTGAGGTGGGAACATCTGACTTCAGTGACAAACAAAAAGTTGGACATCCTCTGACAATAACCACCGAGTTTCGTAAGCAAAAGGTTGACTGATTCAGGATGATCGTCGTATCACTCAGAGAGAAATTTCAAGCATAATTGGCATTTCACAAGGACGTGGGGGTCACATTATTGCTTTGCTTTGCTATTGGAAGATCTGTGCATGATGAGTAAATTGAGAGAACTCTTAAGATGCTGGTAGCGGAAACAGAGTGTTGACTTTTTCCGTGACGGCTTCAGAAAACTTGTTCATTGTTGGTAGAAATGTATCCAATTGTCTGGTGATAATGTGGAAAAGTGAATAGTGGTAGTTAAAGAGCACATTCTAAGGATTATTTCTGCATTTGATTTATTAAAATATTCCCATCCAAACCCAAGTAACAAAGGTGGAGGCGTTACTTTTCATTCAACCCTCGTAATAAGGTAAGGCGGGGATGAGGGAACTGAATGTTGAGAGTAACTGGAATGCCTGAAGTTAATAGTTATTGTTAGTTTGAAAGATGGTTGTTAGTTTTAAAGAAAAAAAGAGGGAGTGAAAAGAGAATTAGGGTTAACAGAGTCAGATTTAGAAACAATGTTTAAGAATAAATTAGCTAGAGTGGAGTGTGTGAGGAGGTGTGGATTTCTTTAAAAATGTAATTAATCTGTTTTGTTATGTTCAGCTTCTATACATATTGTTTTTGGCCTCTGGGAATGCTATAGTTTAAAAGCTTGGATTCAGACCATTTAAATAAAAAAGGGGTGAGTATCCAGCAGGGACGTTAGCCCCATATTATCTCACACAAGTACATCGAGGATATTTGGAGGTGCCCTAGTTGGTGCCCCAGCAGTAGGATAGAAGAAGATCCTTACATTATTGCGGAGATAAAAAAAAACAAGGGAGAGCTTTTACACCTGGGATTCATGTACCCTGTAGAGTTAATGCTGTTTGACACCACTTTAACTGCCATGGCTCAATGTTAAGGAATCCTGGGAATTGTCATTTGATGAAGCACCAGCACCCTTTGGCAGAGGAGGTTAGAGACCTTGTAAAACAGTGATTCCCAACCTATGGTCCATGGACCACCATTGGTCTGCAAGAACTAAAATATGATCCGTGGCCAGACTATTACTACACCATTGCAACAAAAGTGACTGGTCTTGCGAAACCCTCTTATAGTGCTGA